CGTAATAGCTATGTCGCTGGACTCCCACGTAGTCGACCACGGTTCGTGTCCCGGACCCGGTGGCTTAAAACTCACGCCGGGCGCGTGTGTGTGCATGCCCAAGATCCCAAGAGGAGAATGGAGGAGAAGGGACTGCGGCGTGGCCATCCCCCCAGGGGGTGATTTCTCGCTTTCTGTCTCTGTCTTTTTCTCTGCCTGTCTGGCGAGCACCTGCGCCCTATAGCAAAAACCTCTCCAAAAAAAAAGCGTGCACAGGTGCGTGCGTGCCCAGGAACCCAAGAGGAGAAGGGAAGAGAAGGGACTGCGGTGTGGCCATGCCCCCTGGGGGGGGTGATTTCTCACTTTCTGTCTCTCTGTCTCTGTCTTTCTGGCGAGCGCACAGGCCTTATAGCAAAAACCTCTCCAGCAAATGGTGTAATGGTTACGTCGCTGGATTCCCACCTTGTCAGGTACGTGCACATGCGTGCCCAGAATCCCGAGAGGAGAATGGAGGAGATGGGGTTGCAGCGTGGCCATCCCCCCGGAGAGTGATTTCTCACTTTCTCTCTGTCTCTTCAACAAGTGCACATGCCCTATAGCAAAAATCTCTTAAAATAAAAAAAGATACTTTTTCTTACACTTCTTTTCCAAGCACACAATTAACCTCAATACCAACTGACTTCCAGGTGTTAAATTACATTTTAAAATTATCTTTATTTATTAAAGATGATACAGGAGCTGTTTTTCAACAACTCATATAGTAGATGTCTTGTTCTAGGATAGTATTATAAACACAATTTTAGATCAGCAAATCTGAAAACAAGTAATGAATTTGTTTTATAAGATGAGAAGATGCACACTGCAATAAGCCCCATGCTACCCCGAAGTTGATAAATGATAAAACTGTCCAGTACTATTAGATATTTTCAAAATCCAGGCAGAAAGAAAGGAAAGAAATGCTTTAAGTACTGTGGGTCTGCAGTTAAGGTTCTAAGCCAACCAAGACTCCTGGTGGGCCAAGGGGCCAAAGCAAGGCTGGGGGAAGAAAGTAACCCATGCTGTGAGGCTGGAATGAGGCACGCGGCCAGGAGCAGAAAAGACGGGGAGGGTGCCAGGAGGCCCGGGACCCTGACCTGCAGCCCTAACACTGCACAATCTATGTCCTTGAGAGTCTAGGACATGGACATGCCAAGCCTGAGCCCGTGCTAGCCACTCTCTGAAACGCACTGGCTGAGCACAGGAACACAGCGCCCGTGCAATGGTGGGCCTCATTCACTCAACGAGTCGCCTGCTCAGGGAGATGTCAGACCACTGAACGCAGCCTGCCAGGGACTATTAAAGGCAGGTGACCGCCCCAGTCTCAGGGGCTGAAGGCCCTCGCAAAGATTCCGAACTAATTCATTTGCCTGTGAAACGCTGTTTTACAGCATATGTAGAGCTTATCTAAGTATGAAACGTCATTTTTAATTGAATATTATCTTTTTTTAACAAGTCAAGATACTGTCCTCCTTGAATTAATGTAATTTTTCTTCTTCTAAACCAAATAATAATTTTAATGAGATTATGCTACTGAATTCATTTTTAGTGTTATCACAGGCTTTTAATACCAGGACCCGTTCCAGTTACTATAAATTAGTGTATATCCCCTATTTGGATTTGGACAGAAGTTAACAAAGACCATGTTGGTTTTTCCCTCTGAGCTTTTATCTCAAAACTGAACTACCCTGGGGAATGCAACGTCTTGCCATCTACCAAGGTATCTGCTGTGAAGATAGCCTCTTAGGACATCTGGGTTACTGGACTCGTGTCCAGCAAACCCAGGGCCCTCCAAGGTCCAAAAGCAAAAATCCTTCTCCATCTGAAAGGTGACTTTTAAGACTCTTGATGTAGTTGTCTTGAGAGAGGTCATTTAATTCTCTCTCACATGTTTAACAACACATTTGTCCTAAGCTCTTTAAGCAGGGCCAGAGAGAAACTTTTAGAGATTGTATTCTTTTCTTTATTCATTTCTTCCATAAAGGAGAGAGAAACGGGGGGGGGGGGCACATTGCAACCCCCTCCTGGCCTCAGGCAGCCAAGACCAAGGTCATAACGTGTCTAGATGTACAGGTCTCGGGATGAGAATTTGGGCCCTTCCCTGTGGGTTCGGCATCAGGGTATGGTGCTTTACTTATATGCCACCATGGCTGGCCTGCATTCTTGATTTTGTTCTTAAATTTCTAGATTTTCAAGCATTTTACCATGTGACCACTGAGCAACAGGACACAGCTGCTATTAGACCTGCCGTTGGCCTCACTCCTTCTTTATCATCTCTGCCACCCACCCCCAAGGCTGCAGGGTCCCAGCACTTTCTAGAGGCTCCAGAGTTATTCATACATTTACTGGGTCCCTGTTATATGCTGAGCTGGAGACACAGCAAAGGAGCTCTTGGTGTAGGAGCGAGGCTACGTGCCGTGAAAATGCCACCAGCCCAAGAACGAGGGTGGCTCCACCTGCTGAGGTTCCTGCCTCCTGCTGGACAGTGAGTAAGGCTGAGCAAGAGGCAGGCAGCACAAGTGGCATCCAGGTCAGGAACAAAGGCCAGGTAGGGGTACTCTCAGCAGGCAAACCACAGCTCACCATTTTACAACCAAAGTTTTCTGGACCACAGCCACACCCATTCATGTACATGCTGTCTGCAATATGCCCTGTCTGTGTCCCAGCCACAACTCCCTACCTAGCCTTTCACAGGAAGGAGTATGCTGAGCCCTGTCTAGGCCCATAGCAGCCCCTTGTGCTTCAGGCCATCCTTTGCTTCTACCCACGATGTCAACTTTGGCCTGTACGTGTGTGGAAATCCAAGGACATGCTCCACGGGAGGGAGGCGGGACTGGGTACATGCATCTATGGCAGAGGGAGAGGGTGTAGGTGTACCATGCACCACAACTCACCAGTGCTCACAGGACAGCCGGGACTCTGACCACTCCCATCCGACAGGAGACCTAGCAGGATGTCCTTCCTACTTGTAGCACAGTCTCTGCCCATCAAACCCTCATCTCTCAGCAAGACTCAACATGAACTCCTATCCACATACACATGCTTTAGAAGTGTTGCGGCCAGACCCAACTTCAGCCTGTCAGGGTCCTGGTTTCACTCTTGGCAAACCTAGGGTACCTGCTCTCAAGGCCCGAGATGCTGTGCCACGCTCTACATGACGCACAGTCATCCTCATCTTTCATCTTTATTTGTCTGTGGAGTAAATTAGATTAAGAATCTGGTTATTTCAGAGTGATGAAAGTGCTCTGGAATGAAACAGCAGTGATCACACTAAGAATAGACTAAAACACTGAACTGGACACTCTTAACGGTAGATTATGCAAATTATTTCAAAGCCTTAACCAAAATCTTTTAAAGTCCGATATTTTAGAAAGTACTGATTTCTCATGCTTTCTCTGTCAGGCATGTAACGGAATACCACATCGAACACTGCCCAATGAAGCCCTCAGGGCTGTGCTGAGCAGGCTGCACACACGCTGCCCTGAAATGCAATGGTACGCTTGGTAGTTGGCACGCTCACAGGCTCTGTGGGTTGGGGTCTGGACGGGGTGCAGCTGGGATGGCACATCTCTGTCCCTTGGTGTCTGGGACCTTGGCTAGAAGGCGAAAAATCAGTAAGTCAGTGCAGGGCCATTTGCCACCCTGACTGGGGCCTGGAGACAGTTCTCAGTGGCCTTGCACGTGGTCTCTCCGCATGGGCAAAAGGTCTCTCCTCACAGAAAGGCAGCTGGCTTTCCCAGAGCAAAGCCAAAAAAAACAGCCACGCAAACCTGTACCCTTGGTAGACCTCGCTTCAAAGTCCCACAGCATCGCTCTACCATACTACTGGGCAAGGCTGGTCACAGACCTAGCCTAGGTGCACAGGAAAGAAACAAGACTATTTTTCTATCAGAGTCCCACATAAGAATATGCATGATGGCAGATTTCAGAGATCATTCGGGAAAATACAATTTGTCACCAAAGTGAGGTCAATAAGAAAAACTCAAGTCTTCTATGAAGACCGAAAAATTATAAACTAGAGTTAAACAAAATCTGGCTGGAAAATCAAATGTGTACTTCTGTCCTTGTAAGCTGAACCTTGTAATACTCGTAATAAGTACGTGTTACGTTAAACCTAGTATCGCTGCATTGTCTTGCCTTAGTAAGTAAAGTATCATGACCTTGATTTAATGGTGGTGATTCACATTCACCTCCTGGGATCTGCCTGGTACTGCAGCTTCCCTGCAAAATGCAGACTACCACAGATAGGCCTGAACTGGTCTCAACCCACCAGGCTGCATGCTCAGGTGTGCACTGACCTCTCATTACAGCACTGGGTGCTTCAACTCTGTTGTGGACATCTCCAGCAACTAGTCGAAACCAATTCAATAAATAACTAAAGAAAAAAGGAAGAAAAGTAGGATCCTCCCTCTCACCCGCCCCCCCCAATTTGCTATAGGTCATGTGCGCTTGCCAAAGACAGAGAGAAAAAGAGAGAGAGTAAAGTGACAAATCACCCCTCAGGGCTCAAGGCGTCACCACAATCCCTTCTCCCCTTTCCCCTGGGTTTTGGGCATGAACACACACAAGTACCCTGCATGTTGTTCAAGCCGCCAGTCCAAGACATCTGGACCGCACAGTCAGCCATGTGGGATGCAGCCACCTTAACCACCACGCCACCTGGCAGGGCCAAGGGAAGGTTATAATTTTTTTTAAGAATTATTTTAACTAACTTTCTAACTTTCCTTCCTTCATTTATTTATTATTTATTATATTTGACCAGAGAGGGACAGAGCGAGAGTGAGAGAGCAAGCGAGAGAGAAAAAGTGAGAAAGAAAGCCACTAGGTCCAGGATTCAAACTGCGGCCGGCCATGTGGGAGTCCAGTGCCCTTAATCCCAATGCCACCTGCTGGCCCAAGGTAAGAATTTTTAAATTCTAAGTTAGAAAGCTCTATATTAGATTTCTGAGGAAAAGGAAAACAACAAAAATATCAATGAGACAAACCTCTTCTGTCAGGAAAGTAATCCTTAGGAGAAGAGAGCCAGAAGCCGGTTTCTGACTCTGATCTGGCTCTGACCTGCTCTGGAACCTTAACCCAGTGGCGTAACTTCTTTGGGCCTCAGTTTTCTCATCTGTAAAATAAAGGGACTGAGTTAGACAAGGATCCCTAAGTAAGGCCAACAGGTGACCCTCAGCTCTGTAACTGCTGGTGTGTGCCTGAAAGGTGGGACTACCTTCAAGCTGCAAGTTTAAATGATATGATCTGAATGTTTACTAATGAAGAAAACTAATTCCATGTGAAAATGTCCTCCCAGACCCTGGCCAGGTCCTCTCTTAAGAGCTACTGCCTAGGCAGTCATCACCGTCCTGGGGCTAAAAGAACTCTCACCCTCAGACCTCAGGCTCCCTAAAATTACAATTTCAGTCCTCTGTAATCAAGATATCAATATAGTTTAAATGCACAAGAGGAACTAGCTTTCAAAGAATCTATGCCACATATATTTCTAACGAAAAGCAACCAATCCTTCAGTACTGACAACAATAGGCCCTAGTACGTTATTTTGAACATGGGTCTTTATAATTCAGGCCTCTCTCCCCTAAACCAACCATCATGACAGGAGGGCTGCCTCCTAGGAAGTTAGGCTCTCTTGGAGCCTGGAGCGTGCTACTGGAGAGAGCTCTGCCAGGACTGCACCAGCACATGAGCACAGCAAACACTGCCAGCCCCATCCTCCGCAGTTGGACACTGAGGGGCAGGCCTTGCACACACACAAGCTAGTTCCCCAGCCTGAAGTGGAAAACTATCTCAACCACAGTCCACTGCCAGGAATCAAGAGAACAAGGCAGACGTCACCAGAGAGAGATCTGAGCTGAATGGACAACCCTCGTAAATGAAGAGAAGGGTGTGCTTCATATGGAAAGCTGAATTTATTTACCCGAATCATGAATGCAAGCTCTCAGCTGGAAAATCTCACTTAAAATACCAGAGGATTCAGAACTCATTCACAAGCTTTTCAGAATGCATATGGTTGCCATGGTAACACCAACATTATATTTCTTGGCATTAGACATATAAATTACCACCCATAATGCATTTAATAGCTTGAGGCTACCAATTCATAGCAAAACAAAACTGAGTTCTGATCCCTGGCCTCCGTCTCAGCTAAACAAAGGGGACCAGCTGCAGGTAGTGGTACCCAGCTCGTGCCAGGAGTGAGCATGGAGCCACACACAACCAGAAATGCTCATCTGAAGGCAAAATAAAGGCTAAGGAAATGAGACTCCACCATCTACCTTCATACAGTTCAGGTTTAGTAAAACAAAATGTTTCATCAAGATGAATGAAAATGTTACTGCTTAAGTTAAGGGAACAATGTTACATCTATAGCTACTATGCTTAGCGAGTCAAAGAATGTTTTCAATAATTCAATTAGAAGGCATTTGTCAACACCAAATACCGACTCTTCAAATGTCAAGATTGTCATTAGGAAGCAAGCTATTCAATCACAATTCTTCAGCCCAACCGGAGATACTCACAGACATTTACTCTATGTATACAGATATGCATGATTCTAAAGTGCCTTACCTTCTTTTAATCCACCATCCAAACACAAAGATGAAAATAAGATTATCATGCACAAACTGCAAAGACACCTTCAACCTCACACTCCCAGGACGCCCACCGCACTGGTCACTGCACAGAGCTGCTGCAGGACATGCCTGTGCTGGTCACAGCGTCTCCAACAGCTCCTGTTTCATCACTACGCTGCCAGGTCCAGGGGAGGATTACCTTCATCATCTCCTCCCTCGGATTGCAGGCAGCAGGCAGCAGTAGTGCAGGGAAGCAAAAGACTTCGCCACGGGTTGTTTCCATATTAACAGAGACTTTGGTACCGCTGCATTGCAGTCTTTCTAAACGCTACCAACCTCAGAGGCAAAAGCACTGGAAAGACTCCTCAGCACAGCAAGCTGCCTTCTGGATCACAAAGATTTTTTTAAGGCTCCTATAAAAACATCACAAACACCTGAGGTATTTCTAGATTTCCAACCTGTTCCCTCAAGGCTGTGGTTTGTGGTTTTTACTGGGGGATGGCTGTGACAACATCTGTGCTGAGTAGGAACACTGAATTGAACGGCATGTGCACTCGGACACACCAGCATTAGTGTTCACGCCCTCCCAGTGAAAACCTGCACCTCTGCTGAGCACCAGCTGCGGCCCCTCCATGGAGCACTTGGGGCAAACCATGGCTCTGGTTCCAAAAAGTGCAGGCACGTCTAGCTCCTCTGCGGTCACCTTGAACACCAGCTTCTTTCTTAGCACGGGAAAAGCCTTATGTGCTCAAAATACTTGCAATATTAAACCAATGACCATATAAATTTGGAAAAAGAGACTTCTTAAGAAATAGCATGCTCACGAAATGCCCTTTAATTTCCACTCATTCAGCGACTACTTCAGTGAGCCTGCAGCCTGGGCTCCAAGTAGGACATAGTAAGGAAAGCCTCAGCATCATGGTGGCTGCAGGCTCTCTGGTGGGAAGGCAACACATGGCGTGCAGAGTGTGAGGACGTGACAGAGGCCAGCGCAGCACAGGAGGCACGTCAGAGTTAGCAGGCGACCCAGGATGAGGCTCTACGAGGAAGGGACATTTAACAGGAGTCAGCTGTGCACTTGGCTGGGGAAGCACATGCTTCAGATGGCTGTACACATTCCTTGGTATGTGCGAGTGGGTCCTCAGCACATGGGTTCTGCTGAACTATCTGGCCCTCCCTCAGACACCCTGAGCAGACACCATCCCTACCACCACCCACAGATGCTTAGCCTTCCATACCGTCAGCACACACCTGCCTAAGGCATGGGCTGATGGAGCGGAGATGGTGAATTTGAACCCAGCAGGGCAGCTCTGTCCTGTGCTACCCCAGTGTTCTGCCCCTCAGTCAGGGCTGGCCTTCAGTGGTGTTGGCAGATACCCAGGGAATGATGTCTGAGTAGCCTCTGCTCAGAGGATAGTCTATGCTAGGTCTGGCAGCTGGCCCAACACTGAACAGGTGCTCGGTAAGGACTAGGTGAGCAAATACACAAGCTAAGCAACCCACTGGCCACTCTTCTATTCCAGTACTACTAAACGACCTCTAGAATCCCGCCGGCACCGTGCAGAATCTCTCTGATGAGAACGGCCCTCCTTGGCCTCCCCTGTCTACCTCCCTCTACTTCACACCTCAGGCTCTAGAATCTTCTCCAGGAGCCTTCACTGACTCCCTTCTTACCCCTAGCAGCAAAGCCCCATCCTCTGGGCTCCTGTCACCCCCGGCAATTACCACACTACACACAAATGACATTCTGCATCTGCTGCTTGTGCTGATGCCCTGCATGGTCAGCCCATGTTGGGTCTGGAGTACCCAATGCATCGCTGCTGCAGCTGCGTCGTAGAGAACCTGCCACTGGCCAGCTGCCAGCACTGCACATGCAGCACTCCCTGTTCCCCCATAAGGCAGCCACTTCTATGACCTCCCTCTGACAGACAAGGAGACTGAGGCCAGGGAAGCTGAGGTACAGTCCAAGTAGACAGCAGGATCCAAATGCAGGCACCAGCCCTGACGGACCGCCTGTGCCCGTGCTTTACAGGCACCCAACAAGGGTGCATTTACAGCTGGAAGTGAACAGATCTGCTGAGTGGCTGAATTAGATTTACGGAAACCCCCCCCCATTTTTTTAAAGATTTGTCCCGTAGGGCGCATGTGCATGCAGGAGAGAGAATTCACGCTATGGAGAGATGGCCACATCACAATCCCTTCTTTACTCTCTTGGGATTCTGGGCATGCAGACATGTGCCTGGCATGTTTTCAAGTTGCTGGGTCCCAGATTTGAACTGCACAGTTGGCCATGTGGGATACAGCGTCCTTAACTACCAAGCCACATGCTGGCTCTATGGAAAAGTTGTAAGGAAATACTGCCGCCTCCCTATCCCACTGTCCACCTGCACCCCACCATTCTTTCAATCATCCATTCGATCTTGACAGTCTTGCTGTGTCACAGCCCTCTTGTTCCAGCCTCCCTCGTAGGTAGGTCTATAGGTGTGCTTTTTAGGGTGGGCTGGGAAGTGACCTCAGCATTTTTTTTTTTTAAAGAGGTTTTTGCTATAGGGCACGTGTGCTCGCCAGACAGAGAGAAACAGAGACAGAAAGCGAGAAATCATGCCCCAGGGTGGATGGCCACGCCGCAATCCCTTCTCCTCCATTCTCCTCTCGGGATCTTGGGCACGCACGCACGCACACGCGCCCAGCATGAGTTTAAGCCACCAGGTCTGGGACTCGAACCGCAGTCGACTGCATGGGAGTCCAGCGACATAGCCATTACACTAACTGCTGGTCCCAACCTCAGCCTCTTGAGGAGCATGTCAGAGTATGCTATTGGGGATTTTCTTACAAGGTAAGACATGAATAAATGAATACATCAGACCAAGCCAGCTGCATCTTACGTGGAAATTCCTGACTGACCTGAACTCTCACAGCAGGGGTGGATGAGCAGGGAAGGCACTGAGGCAGGTGGCAAGAGGAGGGTTCCTTCTTGCCATCACTGTGCTTTACAGAGCTTCACTGCAACAAGTTCAAAGCTGCAAAGGAACTTTCATCAAATATCTCTCGGCATGTTCAGGTGCCACTCTGGCACTCTCCACAGGAGCCCCAGCAGAACTCTGCCTTTCAAGAAAGGGTCGAGGTTGGGACCAGCAGTTAGCGTAATGGCTATGGCGCTGGACTCCCACGTAGTCGACCGTGGCTCGAGTCCCGGACCCGGGGGCTTAAACTCACGCCGGGCGCGTGTGCATGTGTGCCCAAGATCCCGAGCGGAGAATGGAGGAGAAGGGATTGCGGCGTGGCCATCCCCCCCTGGGGGGTGATTTCTCACTTTCTATCTCTCTGTCTCTCTGACTGGCAGGCAAGTGCACACACCCTATAGCAAAAACCTCTCCCAAAAAAGAAAGAAAAAAAAGAAAGAAAGGGTCGAGGCTGGCTCCCAAGGTGGTCTCACATCCCTAGCCCCAGACAGTGTGGCGCCATGAGGTGACACTTTCCCTTGGATCTGGGCTCTGGCCCTAGTGGGCTTGCCCAGGGGACCTTAGAGTTACAAGCAGGG